CGTCATCGGCATGGAGGAGGGCTTTGCCTTTGCTCCGGGGGGAGGCATGCCCTCGGCACCCAAAGCGGAGGCTCCACTTTCCTGGGGCCTGCTGAGCGCCTGTCTCCCGAGGCGGTCTTGGACCCCTCGGTGCCCGGGAGCTCCCCCTAACCTCTCAAGTGCTGAGGTTCGGGGTTTCTCCTTGTTTATAGGGCGCTTGTCCTTGGATTGGGCCTCCTGGGAGGTGGTATCCTGCGCCACGACCCCCTCGGCGTTGCCAATCCCTGGGGGAGGATTGTTGAACAAAGGAGGGAGTGGTGGAGGCTGGATAATATTTCCTCCAGCGTAGGGCTGAAGGGATGCTTGAGAGACGAAGGCTCCGGAATTGAGAGCCATGTTTTGGACAAAGGCCGCAAAGGCAGCCTGAAGATCGATGGTCGGGGCCGGAGGGGGAACTTGGTTCTCACTCCGATCCCTCCTTCGATTATCAAGGCCAATGCGGGCATCAGGGGCGTTTTTCTGCAGCTGCTGACGTAGGTCAGCGGTGGCTTGCTCCAATTCGAGGATGATACCACCTTCGGGTACTAAGAGCCTGTTTGAGGCCTCAGCCCCGTTGGTTTCGCCGGGGGCTACGTGGTTCTCCTCAAGGGTTTTGGATTGGGCACGAGTTTTCCCCATTTTTGGTAGGTGTTTTGAGTTTGGTAGAGGGGGAGGGTTTCTTACTTGATTGTTCAGACCTCTCAATGAGAGCACCAAATGATGGATAGTCTACCCGGGGGGTATCTTATCCGAGGGGTCATTGCGGGAATAACTAGAGAGAAGTCAGAGTAAATAGGAGGAGAGAGAGTCGATTTTATTAAATGAACTCAGTGTGTGAGAGTTGGGATCTAGGATCGTTTACAAGGAGAAATGGGCTGCTATTTATAGCAGCAATAAATGCGATGAGAGTACACGTGTCAACAATCCAACGGCCGAGGGGTCACATCACTCGGGTGGCACCGGCAGTGGCATGTTCACCGCATTGAATGCGGTTGGTGGATGCGACGTCGCATTAAATGCGGTGGTTGGCTGTCTCCAAAGGGAATCTTTGATGATTGAGTTAGTTTATCCGAGGGCTCTTCATGCAGCCGAGGGCTTCATGCAGCCGAGGGCTCTCTGTAGCCGAAAGCCCTGTGTAGCCGAAGGCTTCCCCGATGCCGAGGGCTCAACAGTGCCGAAGGCTCCTGTTTTCTCCCGTTTTCTCCCATTAGCTTCGTGTGCTCGAAACTGGCTATCCTGTGTAATTTGGAGCCTTCGGCCAAGGAGGCCGAAGGCACCCCCAGTGTGTATTCTGGGGTCCTTTGAGGCTTGGGCCGCTGCATTTGGGCCTGAGATGTTCCCTGGGCTCAATGGGCCTGTATATGAGAAGTAGGAGTCTATGGGCCGGGGGTTCCTGGGCCATATACTCCATCACTCCGGTTAGTTAAAATATACTACCTCCGTCCCAAAAAGAGTTGCAAATTTGACTTTTCTTAGTCAAACAGTCTCGTTTTGTTCACTTAATTAGGATGTCAATTTTTAATTATTTTCTTATTTGGAGTTTATAACTTTGAAGAGATTTTAATATAGTTTTTGAATATGTAAATTTTAATTATTAAAAATTGGATTAATTATCCATAAGTGAGGTTGACTTTTATTATTGGTTGACCAAAAAATGTTGACTTTGCAAAACAAATTGGGACGGAGGGAGTATTTAACTAAGTGACGATTACAAGATGCACTCACATAATTGTCTGTACATAGACAATTTAACCGACTACACAGACAAATTGAGTGGCGATTTATGAAGAAAAACGATTTTCACACATACAAAAATAAAATAAAAAATGTTTGTATCACAGACACTTTATGAAAAAATCGGATCTAAAATGTCTGCGATACAGACAAATCTTTATATTGTTTCTGTGAAAATCGATTTAACAGATAAATCTTTATATTTTGTGTGCGATACAGACAACATATGTGATATACAAAATTAAAAGGGGAACATATATACCCTAGATGAACAAAAAATATGAAATAAAGTATTACCTCATGAATAATATTTGAGAGAGCAAAGTAGATTCAAGTTATGACTCCTATTTTTTGGTGCGGATTTAGATCTGAAAAAAAAGTGAAAGCTTTTGAGATGAAAAAAAAGGAAAAGAAAAGAAAAAAGATGGAGAAAGGGAGATAAGGAGAGGAGTTATATACGAAGTATGAGGGAGAAGGAAAGAGGAAAAGAGGGAGAAGAAAGTTGGGTGCAGGGAGAAAGAGGGAAAAAGGAAAAGAAGGAAGAAGGGAGGGGTTAATACTGTGGAAAAGATGGGGGGTGGGGTCATTTTGTGGTGTGTAACCGGGTGTGTAACCCGTTGTGTACATAGCGCTTCCTCCATGAAATTTAGCATTCGGTCAACATAAGTGTACAACTGTAAATATTTCACATCCTAATTCTGATCAACTTATGGTAAATTTAATTTACACCAAGTCAATTATCTGGTTTTTAATTTTTAAAAAATTCGGCAATTAATTAATATAATTAATTAATTTAACTAATATTTCAAAACATGTACACAAAAAGCAAATTCCTTTAGCATGATAAAAGAAAATCATATTATTATAAAAATCAAATACTCAATATCCAAAATATACATGAGGAACCAAATATTAGAAAAAATAAACTACTCAATTTTATTAAAAGTAAGCCCATAAAAAATCACACAACAACATGAGTACTGATAATTTTGAAAATCATCTGTGGATGCTATGTACTCTTACAAAATTCGTTTACAGTGTTTGTGCTCCAAGATTACAACTTAAGAATCAACAGTGTTGATTAAGTAACAAATTTGAACATCCCATGAACAACTCCAAGCCTTTTCTGGTCGCTCAATTTCTGCAAGCATCCGAGGAACCACTCTAAGCCTTTCCTGCCAGCTCAATTTCTGCAAACAACAAAAAGACAATCAAACCAATACGTGATCTAAGTTTAAACTCAAATTTAATAAAAAGAAATCGTAAATTACTCTATGAAGAGTTGATATGCATACCTGAAAATCAAGAGAGACATGAACTTCAATTCAAAAAACGAAAGCCAAGTCAACCGTTTTTATTCATAAATAAATAAACACAAATCTTGACCAAACATCTATAACAATGACCAAAGCGATTAAGATATCAAAACACAAAGCAACACATTGCACTTAAAGTGTTACAGGGAACAATGTCATTGTTAAGCAACATAACCCAAAAAGCAAAACAACAATCGTGCATACGAAGATAACAGATGTTCAAGTCAATCCAAAAAACAGATCCACAACCCATCCACAAAACAAACATCAGTATTCAGTATCTAAATCATAAGCAACAACAATTTCTTTCAATTCTTCTCTGTTTTAACAACAGATTTCGGCTTTTTTGAAGGCCCTGAAACTGAAAGTTCTCCCAGTAGACAACGTTTAACCGTCTCCACCTCGACTACATTGACTTCTCTTTGACTGGAATTTGGAGCTGGACTGTTAACTTCCTGCTCGGAAGAGCCAATCTGACAAAAAATTTGTTATTAATTTTCCTTGATGGTATAAAGCATTAGTAATAATTAATATTAAATGCAGAATCATCATACCGCTTCTTCTTTTGCATAAAGTTCCCTGCCAAGCTCACTAAACGCATCAACTTCCTACAAATAAATCATGGGAGAAGGATAAAAAATGACACCAAGGTTATATATGAAGTTCATGTTGGAAAAATGTGTGAAAAATTGGTATTTTTGGGGAAATTTTTTGAGTGGGGTTCACTTCCGATTTGGGTCGGGTCAAAGTGATTTCGGATTGTCCTTGTTAAGGGCTACAATTTGATATATGGTACGCTCAAAACGGATAACGGGTGAGTGAGAAATTGTTTTTCAAAGTTTACCCGTTAGAATAGAAAAACTGGGAAAAATGATGAGTTTCTAGTGTATTATTTCCCACACCGGAAAACCCAAGGGATTTGCAACCCTTTATAAAGGGACCCCCCAAGGAGTTAAGATTCCTTAGTGTAAAGGCTCTCTCCACGCGCGCAGGGGGGTGCAAATCAAATCCCGAAATCGGAGAAGAAAAATCGCGACTTGCGTGCGCGGGCGACCTGCGGACACGAATGTCGTCCAAAGATCTATATCTCAAGAGATACAGTTAATTTTTGTTTTCTTCCCAAAACGTTTATTTTTCCCCAGTGACAGAAGTGCCTAGCGGCAGAAATGCTCCGGACAGAAAGCCTCGACCAGAACACCTCGGTATGGTGTTCTGGTGGCGTCGGACAGAACCCCTCGAAGGGGTGTTCTGTTGACTTCGGACAGAACCCCTCGAAGGGGTGTTTTGTTGGGGGGTCTTCTGTCGCGCATCTGAACCGTTACGACAATAAATGCCCAACGTTCTTATCTTTTAATGCAGCGTTAAATGGACAGTTCATGGGCGATTCAATGCCCAACGGACTGGTCATTGATGTCCAATGTTCAGGTCCATTAATTCATCATTTGCACACAACAAATCCTCCTATATAATGGCTGGCAGGTGGGTTGCATCAACACACGATCTTATACGTTCTTACACACTAGCTCACGTATTTCTTCAACTAAAAACACCTCCAGTCCTCTGAAAAATTCCTAAGTGTTCATACTGTGTTCTCGTTCGCTGGAACTCTTGTTTGTGTGCTCAAACATTAGTTCGTAGTCATCGTATCCTGGGAAACGATTGTTGCAACGCTCCTAGCACCGTGGGAGGCAACAAATACGTTTTAAGACATCGTGCGTAGCACGAGCTTTGACTAATTCTGCTTCATCTCCTTTCTTGTTTTTCTCTAGTCATTTTATTTAATTAATTTATTTTAATTAATTTTCTTTATTTTCCGAAACACACCCAACAGTTCATATTAGACACTAAGCTTTTAAATAGACCAAATTAATGCATAATCAACTTATTTTGATTATATTTGGACACTCACTGACATTTCCGTTAAACTAGCGTTAATAACCCATTCCTCCAGCCCCCACCTTTAATTTCCTCTCTGGCTTGGCAATTCCATCCCCAACCTCTTACCCTGTTTCTAAAAGTGAAGCTAATCGCGCTCATCTGGTCAATGGGAGTCCCAAACCACCTTCAGGCTCTAGATTTGGAATCCATAAAGGGGAGAAAATTGTAACTTTCAGTCGCTGATGAACAGTAAAACCGCCCAAGTGTTACAGGTGGTTTCAAGCTTTCCCATGTCTGCCATGTCCCCGTTCTCCAGTGAGGGGGTGGGGAGGTTCGATCTACAATGGTGCAGCCAAACTGCTCTTGGATTCCAGAAACAATGGCTAGATTCAAATCGATAGACAAAAATCAATTTCTTCGTGAACGGTAATCTTTGCACATTCTGAGTTCATTTTTTGTGAGTTTGTGGGCTCGATATATCCTTCTGCCTTAAAATCCAAGCTCCTAGTAAATAGGTTTAGGAATAAATTTTGTCTAGAAAACAAAAGAAAATCCAGAACCCACCATCCCAATTCATGGTTACGATGAAGTACGTACCGTGATTGCCTGGACTGCTCCAGGGAGAGAAGCTTCCAAACATGCTTGGGTTTTCAAAAGAGTTGGCGGCGTGAAAAACGTTGTATTCTGCCAGAGAAGCCATAGAAGAAATGGTTATGGCAGTGTCGGGAAGAAGGTTGTATTCCGCCATAGAATAAATGGGAGCTGGAAGCCTGGTAATTGACGGAAGGAAGCTGTTAATTCAAGGTTGATGTCAATAGTGTCCAAATGTGATGTAAAAACATAAAGTTTGTGTTAATTTGGTCTAGTTAAAAGCTTAGTGTCCAATATGAGTTTTGTAAATAACCTTGATGTCAATTTTGGACCTTCTCCCATAAATCATTAAAATATTACAATCAAACACCCAAAAATTACTCATGTTGTCATACATTTATATTATAACTAATACAATAATATAGGTGCAAAGAAATCAAGACAAACCTCCTTCAGCTCATCCTTTGAAGAGTAGAGAATTAAAACATCTCTTTCATCATTGACCTCAATCACACCAAATGATTTCTTTCCCTTGAAAACATTCACATCCTTTTTGGTATGAACTCTAAACAACGGTTGGGAGCCCAGCAAGTTTTCTATTTCTTGAGGATAAATAACATGCCCACCAACGCCATCAGGGGCGGAGGTAGGGCACTGGTCCGTACTGGGCCGGTACAAAGAATATTTTTGAAAATTTTTTTACACAGAATTTTTTACACTAAAAATACAAGCATTTTTAAAATTTGGGCTGGGCCAGGGCCAGGGATGGCCCTCCCCTAGCTCCGCCCATGAACGCCATCATTCTAAAAAAATTACATTATGTGATATTTGTGTTAACGTTATTATTATTAGTATAAAGTATTATGGGAAATCTGTCAAATAGGTCCTCGAACTTTTATAAAAAAGTCAATTAAGTGCTTATTTAAGAAGCTATGTCCGGCCGTCGCGATTTGGGGCGGTTCCCAGTGAAATTTTTTGATGAATTTTTTTGAGCATCTTATTCATCAAGTCTAGTTTACTCATACCAAATTTGAGATAAAACTTCAATCGGGAACGCATTCAAATTAATTCTTGAAGATAATTGCTCATTTAACTGCACAGTTATCTTCAAGAATTAATTTGAATGCGTTCCCGATTGAAGTTTTAGCTGAAATTTGGTATGAGTAAACTAGACTTGATGAATAAGATGCTCAAAAAATGTCATCAAAAAATTTCACCGGGAGCCGTCCCAAATCGCGAAGGCCGGACATAGCCTCCTAAATAAGGACTTAATTGACTTTTTTATGAAAGTTCGAGGACCTATTTGACAGTTTTCCCAAAGTATTATTATTATTAGACACAACAATACAAAGAATGTAATTATGGAACCTCACAAAATATAGCTTATCTTCCTATTCACTTCATCTTGAAGAACAGATGCGCTCTTCCCAAACAATCTTCTACAGTGCTTATCCCACAATACAAACGTAGCATGAGCAGAAGAATCCATAACACGAACACTAAGCTTGTACCTAAACAACAAATGATTTGAAAATTTGAAAATAAAGATCGAAACCACAAAAGCAAATTATAGTGTTATGGAAAAGCAATACCTCAGCATAACCTCATTACAATTGCATGAAGCACACACAAAAGTATCAGCACTTACACACGCCTTTCTATTGCAAGTCTTGCACACAATATAACACCATTCATTGTTATCTATACCAACTATCTCACCCAAAACCCAGTGTCTCCCATTCTAAAAAAAACAAAAACAACATTAAACAAAACTGCTACAAAATACTTCGTATGTAATATATATATTATATATATAAGTACAAAATAAAAAATTACCTCCTCAATGCGCAGCAAATCTTGTATTGTTGTCAACCGCACATTTCCAGTAGAAATTTCTCCATCATATATCATAGGAGAAGACATGGTCAATGTAACTGCACCCTCTCCTTCACGCGGTGGCAACCTAAAAAGAAGATTCATATATTTGATGTGAAAAACCAAATTAAATTATATTATTAAAATCCTGAACGATATTGCAAACACACCTCGATCTAAAAGTAGCAACATGGTCACTATCCCCGTTCAAGACCAGGTTGGTTACATTGTGCACATTGTGGGCATAAACACGACCTGCAAATCTTGCCTACCATAAACATACAGGACATATCTGATAAACAAAAGGACAAAAATATTTATTCAAATATTTTTTCTACTGTCGTACTTCTTGCAATGACAAATCTGAAGGATCATGATAATATCATCATTCTCTTTCTCATAAATTGAGTAACGATCAATCATATCTCCCCATAACGTAGCATTGATACAATTGTTGCTGTAAAATTAAACTTCACATTAAATTTGACTCAAGCATGGTGAGAAAAACAACTACTATGACAAATGGCTTACAGCTCATCAAAAATATAGGAATCTCCATCAATCTTCTACCACCCCTGTACTTCATAGCACCTTTTCCTCCAACCCTCCCAATAACATCTATAAGGAATACCTTCAGGCATCCAGGAATTTATTAAGTTAAAAAAATTAAGAACATGTGTCTGTTTTATACTCCCTCCGTCCCGCTATGATTGTCTCATTTTACCTTTTCTGTCCGTCCCACTAAGATTGTCTCATACCTTATTTGGTAAAATTTGGTTGGTTCTAAATCATCCCCCTTTATTTTTACTTTATCAATTCAATATCAACCACATAAACTCACTTTTATTAATAATTGTGCAACTTTCTCTTGTCCCAAACTTAGAGAGACGGAGGTAGTACTTACCAAAAGCAGTAGTCTCACTGAGATTTTCCTGACCCTGAAGGAAAGCATACGTAGTAAAATCATAATGCTTAGCTGGGAATACTTCTCTAGGAATTCCGAATGTTGCCGTCTTGAAAAAAAACTCCCACTTGAACGGATTAGGTGTAGTTTTAAATGACATGTAATTATCCTGGACCCAGAAATTTTTGATAACATAAAAATGGCCTTCAACAAATAAGTCTTCAAATTTGGAAATCAGACTTTTCTCAATGTGTGCGTGTACCATGCATAATCAAAACAAAAAACACATGAGTACCAAATATGAATTTGATAAAATTCCCTACAATGAAACGCTCACAGAAGAACATGTACTTACTTCCTCGTCATGAAAAATACATTCCAACAACTCCTTAAACCTTTCGCTCGCCGGAACTCTGTAAACGCGAACACAACATACTTTAACCGACCAACTTGACTTGTCTGGGGTGATATCCCTGATGAGACTCCACATACCAACCATATTTTTGTTTTCTTATAGAAGAACCTGAACTTCGCTGATATGGTTTTCACAGGCACCTCAACATATATATAGGCATTCTTATGTTGGAACGAAAAGAACCTAAAGCGTGCAGCTCGTAGATCGAAAAGATTCATAATTGCCGGCGGAATACGAAGAGCTTAATAGGCGTTGATTTATTACCAAAAAAACCTAAATCGGCGAGGCAATGAGCCACCAAAAATTAAATACCACAAATGCAGAGATTGTGAATCATAAAGGCAAACTGTTCTCTAGAATATTCCAGTCGCAAGAGTGAATACTGTAACAAATGGCAAGAAAGGTTTTGGCTGGAACTTGTTCTCCAAGAAACCAGTTGTTATTATATTAAGATAGATGCCGGTCTCATAAAATCCTATTTTTGACGCGTCTAATCATGTCCAGCGTTTGTGCCTCTAGAGGTTTACTTTCCCTTGTCCTGCGCTAACTATACTTTATACATGTATAAACACACATGTAATTTTAACACAAGTATCCCGGATTGTTAGTTTTTTCTCATCTCATTTGCAGTATTTGGTCACCATTTCAGAGCGGCTGCTGCAGCTGCACTTCCATGTTTCTTGAAGGGTTCGAATATTATAATTTGAAATTTCTTATCTTACTCATTGGGGTTATTGCAGACAATTAATAATTTTTGGCTTGTTGTGTTGTCTTTCATTTAAAAATCAAATCAATTAATCAGATTTTGCCAACGTGAGGGATAATCTCAAGAGAGGGCCTGTTCATCATGCAGCTGCAGATGGGTTTACCGATGCATGCAAGTACTTTCTGGAGGATCTGAAGCTCGATGTCAACGAGAAAGATAACTTAGGTTGTTTTGTTAACTTTTAAACCTTTTTGATCATTTGAACTTTTTCATATGCTAGCTGAATTTTTAAATCACGGTCCATGGATCATGGATGTTCTAAAATCCGTGCAATTTCACAGACAAGACCCCTCTAATTTATGCTGCTGAGCATGGACATTCAGCTACAGCCAAATTCCTTGTGGATTATGGTGCTGCCTTAGAATTTGAGAGGGGAAGATATCCTCTTCTTTATGCTGCAAAGAAGGGTACTTTTTACTTTATTCAACTTACTTTCCTGGATTGTCATCATCCATAATCATTCTTTCCTTGATCCTAAGATAGTTGAGGCTGAGTTCTAGCATCTACTTTATAACTTTAATTTTATTTCTTATCCTAATATTTGCTGACCATGACTGTAATGCAGAAGTCTTGTGAAACAAGAAACATATTTCTGACATGATTGCTTTGCCTACTTGGGTGTAGGTGATATTGAGTTAATGAAATCCTTACTTTCTAAGGGTGCAAAAGTTGATTTTGTTAACAGTGATTTCTCTACTTCACTTGGTCATGCTGCATTATGTGGCCAACCTGATGCTTGCAGACTTCTGCTTGAAAATGGTGCTAATGTAAATCAACTTCTCCTTTGCAAAAATCCAGTTGTCTTGTTACTTATAGAGTCGTAGAACTTTTGTGGCGAGATCACATATAATTATATCTTGCGTCTCTGACTCGTAGAGTTTTTAAATCATGGATGTGTGTCACTCCCTCATTGACTTTAAGGTCAATTGTTGATGGAAATGCTATAGGTCATCTTCTTTGTTTTAGGTATTTTTCTATGATTAGAATCCGACAGTTTGTGTTCAATTTCAGAAAGCCAATTTTTTTAGTTAGTTCATTCCAACTTTATGATCTAATTGGAAAGTTTTTTTTTTGTATTTGAAGGCATGAAAATTTGCAAACAGATTTGACTGCGGTTGATTCAATATCAAATTGGTTGAAATAAAATTTGATGTAGGAAAGTGATAAGGTCATACTTTTTCAGTAACTTTTTAAAATTTAAACAAAATTAGGTCGGTGGAAAACGACTTAAATGACTCTTTACTATGCATGAGTACTTTAATTACGAATGTCTATAGTACCTTTCCTCTTCCTGGATGTTTGCTGCATCCATCATGCTTCCGTATTCTAAACTTTGGTCCTTATTGTCTCTTTGTAGCCAAATGGGCATCCTGATTACAAGTCTTTCTCTCCTCTCGGATTGGCTATCCGTTCATGTTCTCTCCCTTGTGTGCAGTTGTTGGTGGAGGTTGGCTACCTTCGTTTCTCTTCTTTGATGTTAAATAAAGCTATTGTACAAAAGAGAGATGTGGGGACTGAGTTGCTTTAGTCTTGTGCCCTTGTTTACTAAACTTGCATTTTTAGTAGGCTATAAGCATTCAAAACTTTAATGCGTATGCTCTTTATGTTTCACATGAAGTAACATTTCACAATCCTGAAATTATGAACCTTTAACTCATAAAGAGGCTCTTACTGTGTGTCATAGCCTCATAGGCCATGTAATTATTAGATGCATACCTCTAGTGGGGTTTTGTTGAAAACGTGCCTTAAGGACGACTCAACATCTAAAGGTTGAAAATGCATACCCAATTTTTTTAAATTATTTTCCCCTTATCCTTTATTCCTTTTAAAATCTGAATTCTTCTCATGAGAAGGAATGGAGTAAGAAGTCGGATGTGGTTATCCATATTTGGCTTGCTAGATCCCTTTTTGTTTTGTTTTTTATACATATAAATACTATTTGTTATAACTTGTACTCTCTTCGTACTCGAATGTTTGTAACACTTTCCCTTTTTATTCATATTTGAATATTACAACACTTTTCGTTTATGGCAAGCTTTCATAGAAAGAGATGAGGTTGCTTGCGTGTTTAGAGCATTGTTTAAAATTGTGCAATGGCTTTACGTAATAAGGCCCGGTTTACAACCTTTAGAGATTTCAGGATGCAAGAAGGTGAATGGCCTCAATTGAGCTTCCCAGCATAAAATCAAACTGATTCTTCGAAATTTTCACATTTTTTCGGGAGGGTTTGTTCCGGGAGGGGCCGGTCCCGGGTCGGGTCGGGTTTCGGGTACCAATTTTTTTTTGGGTTTTTGTTTATTAATTCTAACCCCCTCACCCCCAAACCACCCAGCCCCAACCCGCCTCTTACCCAAACTAGTCGTCGAAACCCAAAAAAAAAGAATATTGAGCCCGGACTGGGCCTGGACCGGCCGGGCCGGTACCAAGGGGACTGCAGCCCGAGACCGCCCCCAACAATTCCCCAGGTCGGTCCTAGGACCGGAACTGGTCCCGGTCAACCGGTCCAGTCTGGTCCTTCATAGTGGCGGTCTGGTCTGGTTCTCGGGCCAGTCAGACCAGAACCGGGCAACCCCTAGTCGTACCCCACCAGCCCCGACGACAACTACTGCCGCCGACCGCCACCCACCAGTTCTCCTTCCTTGAATTGACTCCCCAGCCTCTCCCCAGCCACCACCAAACCGGTCTTTCTCCATATCCGTGACAGTATGGCCCCCTCCAGGCGCCCCACAGCTGCCTGCCTAACACCTCCCCCTGCACAGGAATGGCCGTCACAGATCTGAATTTGCCGCCACAGATTTGAATTTACAGTCAATCAGCGCCATATTTGAAGGGGAGATGAGAGGGATGGAGCAAGCCAGCGAACAACGGAGAAGAAAGCAGCAGCGATGAAAAAGATTAAGCTAGTCGGCGCCAGCATTGCTGGCCATCACTGCCGCTTCTCGTTGGTGACGAAATGGTGGTCGCCGTCGTCATCTTCGCTGGAGCTCTCCGTCATCGCGTGTGCTTGTGGAGGAAGGAGAGAAGATGGTGGAGGGAGGAGAGGTGCAGGTTGGAGTGAAGAGGATCGATGCGTGTGCGGGTGACTTAACTCACATTTTTGTCCAGTTAAAATAAGGTCATATTTTGGTCCATCCAAACTTCATAACTAATATTTTTGCCATTATTTCTATTATTATTCTTACAACATGTTGGATTATGTTATTTATTAGGTATATGTATAATGTATAAATGGAACCCAGTTGCATGTATAAAAACAGTTCTGTTTTAGTTAAAAGCAAATGGGTCCAGTTCAAATCGGGTCTAAAACCGATGCCATTTCCATCCTAGCAATGGGATGCATAGGGAGGAGAGAAGGGAATAGAAAAAAGAGAAGTTTTAGTAGAAAATGTCATTGAATAAGATGGGGAAATGGTCTTCTGTGATGGTTGTTTCACTTGGCCACAGAGAGATTGCAATTAAGAGCAAGGCAGTGAAATCTGCCAATCCTGATCGGGAAGCAATGTATTTCACATGAAGCAACAATTCGCAGCACTGCCATTGTGTTTTGATCTTCTCTTGAAGGGTTGGCTGACATTTTGCTCTTAACGCATAAAAAGGCTCTTAATGTGCGCCATAAACCATGTCATAATTAGATAAATACCTCTAGTATTTTTTGTTGAATATGCGCTTAAAGGATGACTCAACTTCTCAAAACCTAATTTGCTACCACTTTACCATAGTCCGTTTACTTTGTAAAATTTTGTGAAAGTTATGTTTAACAATGTCACATTTAAAAGATGAGTGTGACAGAGATGCGTATGTTGCGTTGGATGTGTGGACATATTAGAAAATATCACTTGGGAAAGAGATAATCAAACAAAAGGTGGGAGTAACTCCGGTAGAAGATAAGAATATAAGATGTAGGAGTTTCGATTGCAGTGGTTTGGTCATGTTCGCAGAAGAGTGGGTGGTGATGCACATGTTAGACGAGAAGAGGCGAGAATGAGAGAGAGGAAGACCCAATTAGACTTGGATTAGAGGAATCATAACTGATATGCTTCTTTTTGGGTTGGATGAGAGAACAACTTTGGAGACAACAATGAAGAGGGCGCATATTCGCGGACGATTGATCTTGTCTCTCTCGTTTTCTTTTATCTTTCTTATCTCTCTATATTTTTATGTTTTTTTATCTGTCTTGTGTTCTTTTATCTCTTATCTTTCCATCATTTGCAATGGATCCAAAGATTCATTATTTTTTGGCTTCAGAATATGATGGAATAAAGCAAAATGGCTCACTAAACTGTCTGCGCTTCTTTGTTATGAAGCAGCAGTCAGTCCATGCAATTTTGGACGCGATTTTCACTACGGGTCATCCGGAAACAGTCTCTCTGTGCTTGTACAGGGGTAAGACTGCGTACATCCGACCCCCCCTTACCCCACCGTAGGTGGGAGCCTTTGCGGCATTGGGGTAAATGAAAAAAAAATGTTATGTTATTTTATCTTATATTTGTGTTTATCTTATCCATTTATCTTAACTGTCTTTTTATTTTTCTTATCTTTCTCCTCTTTTTGATTGTGACAACATGGATTAAATAAGGCGTGGTTGTTGTTGTTATGTTTAAAATTTTATCTTATATTTGTGTTTATCTTATCCATTTATCTTAACTATCTTTTTACTTTTCTTATCTTTCTCCTCTTTTTATAAACATTATTTTTATCCTTTTTATTTTATCATTTTTAGGTTTATTCATCTCTTTTTATATTATCTTTTTCTAATAGCTTATTTTTGTTGTCTTTATTTTCTTTCCTTTCCTTTTTGTGGTGATATCATGTATCGATTCATGTTAGCCGACCCCAATATCTTTTGGGGCCAAGGCTTGGATGTTGTATCTTTCTCCTCTTCTTGACTATGACAACATGGATCAAATAAGGCGTGGATGTTGTTGTTATGTTTAAAATATCTGTTGACTTCATTTGTTGTGCGCACAATTTAAACACATAATCTCTTCCTTTTCATACAGGCAAATGCAACCTTGAATAGTCCAGCCACGAGCTGGGGAGGAAACCCTTTGCACCAAGCTGCGTTTTTTGGCCACCAAGAAATCGTGAAATACTTATTGGAAAATGGAGCAGATCCAAACATTAAATGTGTTACAAGGTTTTCGGATGATGTATGTTTTCCCAGTTTTCTAATTGACTATATGTGCATGATTTACTTTGTTAACAATGGCGGATGACACTACATATAAATATAAATCAAGTGCATGGTGTTGTAGACTTGCACTAAGGGAGTATTTGCAATAGCTTAAAAAAGCGCTTCTCGGCTTTTGGCATAACAAAACTAAAATTATTGTTTACAAGTGACAACTTCTACTTAAAAAAGCGCTTCTCGGCTTTTGGGTAAAAATTGCTTTTTACCTTTTCTATTACAAAAAAAAACTTATTTTACCGAACACTACAAAATCACTTGTATGTAACATCTTTTACTTTTCAAATTCACTTTTTTCTCAAACTGTTAATCACTTTTCCCAAAATCACTTTATAAAGCACTTCTTTTAAGCAAAAACATTTGCAAACACTCCCTAAATAGCTTAACCAGTGCGGATTAGGTGAAGTAAATTACATACATAATAATTATATTTAGATATCACACTTCATTGGTAATCATGAAGAACTTTTATATCACGCGCAATTGACATGGCAACAGCCACGCTGCCATGTTTGTGCCTTTGTAGTCATCGCCAGGAGGACTGTTCATGGCGAGGGAGGGTTTTCTCGCCGTATGGCGCATGACCCACGTGCCATTCCTCACCATCGACAACCATGAATAGAAGTCCAAAAAGTCTCAAACACTAAACAGTCACATGACTTGAAGGTCTTGGGAAGAATTGATATGTGTTGTAGTCTTGGCACCGTCATCCCTTCTGCTATGAAAATCCTAAAATTCTTTTTCTTCTTCATCATCATTTACTTTCATTACTTGTTTATTTTTCTTATCTTTCCTTGGTTATCCATCTGCTCTGTTGACTTCTTGGTTTTGAAGTATGCTGTATGAATAATTTTTAATGACACTTAAAATGTGTAATAGAAAGTAAATGTTAGGGTTTAAATGAACGTTTTAATTGAAACAAGACTTGGCAGGGTTTAGTGCAGACACATGTTTAATGTTTGGGTCTATCAAAAAACACTAGGCCTTTTCAAGTGATAAAATGCCTCAGAACAGACATTAAAGAGATAGAAACAAAGGAAAGCCGCCTCAGAAAAATGCCTCAAGGCATAAGCCTGCAAAAAAACCTAAACCTTGAAACCTTCTCTGTACGCCTCATCTTAAAGCATGCCTCAAAACTAGCCCAAGCCCATAAGTGCATTTTTAAACAATGGCCAGTCATGTCACTTTTGAGCTTTAATTTGACTTTGGACGGAGTGCACGATCGGTGGAAGCTTTACCATTTTAGTTTGGGTTACATGCTCTCTTGCATTCATTTCCAAACTATACACTCTTCAAAGTGTACGATGATTGGTCACATAAAGACGTGTAAGTAGATAGTAAGTAGATACTCTGATTCACTTTGCATGAGATCTGCAGGATGTTTGGATACCAAGGAAACCAATACAGGTGGCAGCTCAATATGGTAAAGTAGGTGTGGTCAAAGTTCTTTTCCCCCATACTACACCGATTGATGGATATGCAGAGTGGAGCATTGATCGCATTCTTGGTGACATGCAACCTGGAAGTATGAGGAAAGGTATTTATTTCATTATTTGCTTTGGTTATACTTCCCCTCTTCTCCAAAAATAGGATCCAGTTTAAATAGGGTGCAACATTTATTTAGTAATCTCACTAAAGGTACACATGTTTACAAGTTACAAATGATCCCTTGCACCCATAAAGCTTGTTTCTAGATTATTGGACTAATTAATTAAAATCACTTGCCACTTGGCATAAGTGGAATTGCTTAAAGATCAAAAGGTACAATTATAACCACTCCTTTTGAGAGGCTGTGTCCTTACTCCTTGGAGGCGTTATCGATTAACAGCTGAACTTTATTTTGGCCCAAACATGTTCAACGCACTGATCAACATAATCATATATAATCATATATGTAATATGTAATTTGGTCCTGGTCCCTTATTTGTGTGTAATATAATATGTATGTAGGTGAAGTAGAGCTGGTCCCTGATTTCTAAGTTACATAGAAATTCACGATGTTTTTTATTTTCTTACCCCTCTAAGTACCAGTTTTGATTGATAAATCATTGCTTCTTTATGTTTGTTTATATATTCTCTTGTTCTTTTGACTAGTTCGTACCAAAGTGGGTTTTGTATTTGGTGATGGGACATAATGTAAAATGGAAAACTGTTCCCTAAGAGTTTGAACACGCTATTCAACCTTTTAATCATCGGTAATTCACATTCTAAATTCATTACTCAGCCATGGAAGCATGGTTGATTTTGGCGGACCATCAAAGTCATCCATGTGATGCACATTAATGGTTCCTATTCTACTATTACTACACTTTCAAGAATTGATTTTCCATCTTGTTTGTTTTTCCATCTTGTTCATCATGTAGCAAAAAAAAGATATCTTAACATTGTCTCTCAATCACTATCCATCATCTTCAATGGAGCCAAAGACTCACTTTTTGTGGCTTGGGAATATGATGGAATAAAGCAAAATGTCTTGCTAATCTGTCTGCGCTTCTTTGTTATGAACAGTCAGTCTATGCAATTTTCGACGCGTTTTTCACTATGGGTCATTCAGAAACAATCTCTTTGTACTTTAGTACAGGGGGAAGACTGCGTACATCCGACCCCCCTACCCCACAGTAGGTGGGAGCCTTTGCGGCACTGGGGTAATGATGATGATGATGATGAACATTGTCTCTCAACCACATGCTGTTTTTCTAAAGAGAGTTCCCACCAGTAGGAGTAAAATTTATGACATATGCTCTACAAGACCACTAGTTTCATAGGATAAAAATTGTATTGAATTAAAATAATTCACTGGTATAAATAATACAACCAAACAGAAAACGAATTACATTCAAAGGCCACCACAATGAAGCTCTCAGTCCACCCTCTGCCCTTTAGCCTCCACCACTAGACTCTGGACAACAAGTTCTAAGCCTTAGTATGAAACAACAACAACGTCCAAGCCTTATTCCCGAAATTTGGCTAACATGAAACAAAAAAAATACAAACAAGATTGAGGGAGTAATCAAAAGATGAAAAATCAATGCTATTACCAACAGGCATCCCATTGTCAAATACATTTCACAAGCGGGGAGCGTAAATTCGAAGCAGGCAAGGCAAATCAGTCTTCTGTAAGCGATGACCACCAAGGAGTGACCAGTAATTTTCATCTCATTCATGTTCTTTCATTCTTTAGGCCGTAGGATTGATTGCCAGCTATGCACATCTGATCAGTGAAGATATTTGAAGACAAAGAGAGTTGGGGATTGAAGTGGGAACCAGGATTAAAGATAAATGTATATTCTGGATTGATCTGATTTTAATTGCTTCAAAAGGGGGGTATAAGAGTAACAGAAATTAAAGTCATCTTTAAACAATTGTGCGTTGGTCGTGTTATGGGAGAAATTACATGTGGCTCTATATGTTACACCAAATATAATTTACCATTGTTATGTATTTTCTCAATCTACTCTCTTTGTCCAGGTTTATTGCATCCTGAACTTCGTCAATTTCTTTTTTTGTTTTGTTTTTACTCCAAGTGGAGCTGGGGGAGGGGGGGCTGGGGGGCCTGAACTTTGTATTTAATCTTTTGCTTTTGACATGAGTTTTTCTTTTCTTTTTCTCAGAGTGCGAAGTATTTGAACAGTATGTGTATGCCTCTTTAGTTATTTGAACTTCGCAGCTTGAGTAAAGATGTACTACCTCCGTCCCTTCTATATTGGGACGGAAGAAGGTGGCACGGTTATTAAGAAAAGTGAGTTTGTGTGGTTGATATTAATTGATAAAGTAAGAATGATTTAGAGCCACAAAAACTTTACCAAATATTGTATGGGACAATTTTAGTGGGACTTCCCGAAAAGGTAAAACAGGACAATATAAGAGGGACGGAGGGAGTATATGATTAATTGTACTCTATAAATTCAAACTTTATATACATGACATAAAAGCAATATATTGATAGGTGAGTAGTACATTGTTCTACTAACAAATGAGATATAACATGTAGAATTCATGTTATTGTTTGGTGTCGGCAAAAGTAAATTACCCTGTGAGTACGGTAATATTTGCCATGTTGATATTCTTTGTATGTGAAATACAATTGTAAAGTGCTAACTGGGTTACATGCATGATGCAGGAGGGGGCACATGGAAAAGGAAAAAGAAAAGACAAAGCAGAGAGGATGCATAACGGAAAGGGAAAAAATCTTTAGATCAAAGAAAGGGAGCATATTGAAGATGTTTGTTCATGAACTTCTACTTAATTCCATTGTGTAAAAAACCTATTATTACTTTTCAGTAGAATTGTTTGCCATACCTTTTTATTTTGTGTAGGACGGGAGTTTCAATATTCAATTGCTTTACTCCATTAGACCATGCCTTAATATTCTTTTTTCAGTGCCCCATGCCCTAAAGGTCACATTTTATTTATGTTCTAAATTTGATTTGCAAAAGTTGAATGGCACCAAGAGTTAAGGAAGTTTATAATTGAAGTTTGGCTCTACTATTTTGTCGTATCTTCCATAAAGCGGAGACCTTGAAGTAAATGGAATAGGGGTAAAAGTAGATGCAAGTTTGTCAACTAAAATACGAAATTTTGTAAATCAAATTGGGATTGAGGGAGCTCATTAAATGTATTGAAAAACCTTTATATTTTTTTAAGTGTCCAGTCTGTTTGAACAGCCTATAAGTTCCTCTTTATCGGTGTTCTTCTATAATATGTATTAAAAAATTTAAAATGCATTGAGTTGAGCATTTTTTTGGGTGAAATGTAAGTATATATAAAAGACACCCAAAGAAAAAGGGTTCAGAATGTACAGGAAACATTGAGTTGAGCATTAGTTATATGAATTGCACATTTCTTCTCTATTTCCAATACACATACGTGTTCGTGTTGAAAATGTGAATTGAACTGCATGGAGTAGTACCCATAGCTATGGTTGAGACTAGGCCCTGCTTTTAAGTACACTAACCACAAATGTTTAATATATACCAACCCAATCACATACACATGCGATATTGCAAGTTACGTTAACAGATGCTTTCAAGTGAAAAATCAAAATGAAAAAAACAATCCAATTTATTCGAATTGCATTGCATTTTTGTTTCTCATGATGTTCACTTTTCAATTGAATGTTGTGTGAGAAGTACTTAATTATCTTTTTGCCACTTACTTTTTATTTGTTCTTTTATTTTTGATATTTTTTACTCTCAGATCTCCAACGACTCCAATCCAATGTACAAAATAGTGATTTGTTTTGCACAGGGGCGGATCGTAGTAGAGATCCAGAGGCTACCGCCCTCCCAACATTTTTTTTTTGTATTATATATATGAAAAATAATTTTCGCCCTCCCCAAAAATATTTTGTTTAAATTATCGCCCTCCAAGATGAATTTCCTGGGTCCTAGTTGTGCATGCACAAGACTGCACATGTAGTGGTGTTCTTTTATTTACTCCATCTTTGATCTATTGAATGTCCATGAGCGAGTGAATGTGTATGCGACTCCCACCACATATGCACTTTGTGTAGCATGAAGCTGTAATATCCATGATAAACGTTATTCTAGGATTTTTAGCTTAGTAAGAACGTTTTTCACTGAAGTGTGAAATCCGCATAGTAATTTGGCTCTTATTTTTGCAGCCTTACAGGTCGTGGTTGTGTACCGTGTAAAAGTAGTGTGAAATATGAAAAGTGGCACCATATCTCGTTTGGATACTAAAGAGGATTTTTATATTCTCTACAAAAAAACACGCGCGTAGTCACGGATTTAGTCACGGACTGCAGTGTTAATTTTCCGTGACTAAAAAGGTTAGTCACGGTCATCCACCATGACTACATCCGTGACTTAATGGGCGTGACTAAATAAAGTCACCGCCACATTAACCGTGACTAAATGTAGTCACAGAATAGTCACGGACAACAGCCATGACTATTATTATGCCGGAAACCCTACTCCGACGTCATAGTCACGGCTGTGGACCGTGACTATTAATTTTTTTTATATATTAGTCACGGCTGTGGACCGTGACTAAGTTTTCAAATTTTCAAAATTTGAAAAAGACCGACCGCGGTTGTATTGATCCCTATTTTGAAATTTTAATTAGCCACGGACATGTATCCGTGACTACATTTTTTTTAAAATAAATAAATAAATTCGGATTAACTTTAGTCACGGATAGGGCCGTGACTAAATTTTTTGTTTTTTAAATAAAAAATAAGTTTTTTTTAAAAAAATGTTTTTAAAAATTTACTTTTTTTATGCGTATTATATTAAAAATTATATTTTAAAATGGTTTTTAAAAATTATATTATTGAAAATATTATTCTAATTTTTTTAAAGAAAAAATTACATTTTAAACAGTAAAGCAATTAAAACAATAAAAAAACACATACAACAAACTTAGTAAATATTATGACAAACTTTTAAATGTAATATGAAATGCTAAACGTATAAATGTATGATGATTACATGTCCGTTCATCGTCGGACTCCATTATGAAAAAAATTAGGATTATCTTCATCATCATCATCATCATCTGTAACACCGTCCCCAAATATATTTACTTTTATGTAAATAATGTATTGAACCTTATTAAAGAATTAATGAATTTACGAAGTTGTAAAATTTTTATTATCTCATTCGCGTGAAATGTAAATTGCACGTGGGACCCACACCGGGAGCGGGGGCCGCCCGACACTCCCGAGGCCACATATTTTATTCATCTTAGTCAAGATAATATTTATATAGTGGTGGATATTTTATTTGGGACGTGGAAAGGCGCAGAGTTGACCGATTGGGAAAAAGAGGCCCAATTACCGGTACCGACAATTAAACAGATAACAGCCCGAAAATGAATTTCGGAGGCTTCCAAATTAAAGTTTTGGAATATATATTATTTCAGAGGGGCGTTATGATGGGGAACACATAATATATTTTATTTTACCCGATAAAATAAATTATGATTAAAACAGTCCGAAAAAATACAACTTTCGGGACCGATTGTACACTTCGGGACAAAAAGGGTTGACCTCCCACATGAGTGGGGGCCAACCCACGTTTTTGGTCACTCAAATGGAGGGCTTGGCTGGCTGGAGTGATAGAGAGGCATGGGGGGAGGTGTGTGTGAAGTGAAATAAAAGGCATCAAACAAAAGGGAGTGGACCCCATGTATACTCATTGATCAATGAGACAAAGGGCAACCCCTATCCCCCTCTCCCCATCATTCTCGGCCAGAATTCATCCAGCAAGAGCAAGAGAACTTCCCATCTTCCTTCTCCATTGTTGAAGAGAAATCATCAAGGAAGAATCACCCAAAAAGGAGCTAAAGTGCTAAAAGTGTGAAATAATTAAGGTAATGACCTTATTATAACTTCTTCTTTATTTTTTCTTCTACCATATGAGATACATATCATGTGAAGAATCCTTAAGAGGGTTCTACATGTTGTAAGTATGGATTAATGGATTGGAAAGTGATTCTATGTCCAAGAACGGACTTAGAAGCCAAAACGACCGGTTCACCGGAAAATAACCTTTTAGAGGTTATTTGTATTGATTAAGGTTTTATGATGTTAAAACCTTGTTAGGCACTTGTAAAGGGTATTTCAAGTGATTTCACAAAGTTGGGAAAGTCGCCGGAGTTGTCGCCGGAGTTGACCAAAAGTCGCCGGAGTTTCACCGGAGTTCAACCAAGAAGGGTAGAACTTCATACGCTAGTTCAAGGTGAGTGGACGGCTTAATATCTTATAACTTTTGGGTTAATTATGAGATTACCTAAATAAATGTTATATGTGTTCATAATGATGTTTAAAAGATATTTAAACATGTGATTAGCCAACATTATTAAGTTGTATAAAAAGAATTAATTGTTTATGCATGAAATATGATATGAGAAATTATATATAATGCATATTTGCTTTAAGAGTAAAAGAAGCACAAATGGATATTATTAACTTAATTATATGATGAATTAGTTAATAAGTGTAAGACTTGAGATGGCGGTCAACAACAACGTTGACCGATGGTTAATGAATTAATTAATATCGGTTGATATTAGTTAATTATACATTTATATGGTTGCATGGATTTGCATGGATTGTGATACATAAGCTTTATGTAGTGAATTAGTTATGAATGACTAAATATGATATAGACCCTATCTAGCGTGATATGTGGTAAGTCATAGGTCGGGTGGAGTACCCAAGGATCGGGCGGTTATCCTCAAAACTCGGTTATATAGGGTGGAGTACCCAAGGATCGGGCGGTTATCCTCAAAACTCAGTTATATAGGGTGGAGTACCCAAGGATCGGGCGGTTATCCTCAAAACTCGGTTATATAGGGTGGAGTACCCAAGGATCGGGCGGTTATCCTCAAAACTCGGTTATATAGGGTGGAGTACCCAAGGATCGGGCGGTTATCCTCAAAACTCGGTTATATAGGGTGGAGTACCCAAGGATCGGGCGGTTATCCTCAAAACTCGGTTATAGGGTGGAGTACCCAAGGATCGGGTGTGTATCCTCAAAACTCATAGATTACATATAATGATCTAGGACCGGGCGGTGTCCTTATGATAATTTACTTGAACAAGGAGGAGTTCTATACACTCATAGGCATATGGGTGGGTTGGGGTTTTTAGTCAAGAATATTGACTATTACTATTTTTCCCAAATAAACTGGTGATCTACGGATCGGATATTTTTCCAAGTATATATATACTATTAAGTATTTCATAACTTGGGGGAAAGACTATTTATATAAGTATCACCCTATGTTTGGGTCTTATACTTGAAACGCTAGTTATTCTATATTTAGCCTGCTACTCGCTCGGTACTTGTACTGACCCCTTCGGGGCCCCCCACCATTTTCAGGTTGAAGCTAGGGCTTGCTACTTGCACCTTCTCACGGGTGATATCAAATCAGGAAGACGTGGTTCGTGCTTCCTTATTTTCTTTCAAACTACCGAACACTTGCTCATGGATATTTGTTCTACTATAAACTATTTTTGGGGCTTGCATGCCCATGTTGTTGGCCGGTTGTGGCTTATGACTTACCATTGAATATTTCCGCTATTCATTGGTTTAAATGTGATGTTGTTATGTATGTTTACTACTGAGTATGGATGGATTGTTTTCTCGAACGCCTTGTGTAATTAAGAGGGGTTGACTCGCGGGTGACGTCACTTAATTATACGGCGGTTGTACACGCGCTTGGATTGCGGTCTGGGGCGTGACATCATCAACAACAAGAAACTCTTCTGGGTTCACGGGGGGGGGGGGGGGGGGGGTCTTTGGGCTGCTGCACGGGGTCGTCGGGTCGGGTTCCTCCTCGGGGTCCTACTCGGGGTCCATGGCTTGGTGTACCACTACCTCCTCCGAATGACCTCAAAAAATCAAAGGACATAGATCCGAAATTCAGACCCATCGTAGGCGTGCCACCGTATCCGGAGTTGGAGAAAAAACCCATACCGCCCATGTGCGGAACTTGAGGAGTTTGCTCAGGGTG